CCCCCCCCCCCCCCCAAGAGCGACCCCCCCCCGGGGGGGGGGGGGGGGGGCACATGAGCTGCATGCCGCCTCCCATATAATCCAATGGCTGGAGGCGGGGACAAGGCCGGAACCTCCATACATGTGCACACATAATTGTACGTCCATGCACATGCGTGCACCTACGGCAATCCCGGCGTATGCCTACCTGCAGCCATTGGCATATAGGAGGCGGCCATGTGCAGGGGGAGGGGCGAGCCAGATCACGGAGGATGGAGCATGCGTAGCGGCGCCCTATGCAGCGGCGTATTATACATACACGTGTGCAGACCCCGCCTCCTGTCTAGTGACTGAGCATCGCCGTTCCTCTCAGACTGACCCAATACGATACAAATCTCAGCGTGCGTTTGGTTTTATCTCGGCGTTCAGCCGCTTGGGGGGTCCAATAGAACGTTGTACTTCCCATTGAGGGACACAGGAATTCAGACACAAATCGGGTTATACCGCCGCCTGCAGTGGGATTGGACACCGGCAAACCGTAGGCCAGCCTAGAATAACCCCTCCCACTCCTAACCCTTCCCACTCCCAGCATGCCTCAGTCTTGCAGTTTTTCACTAGCACAAACCATGAGGCATGCTGGGAGTGGGAGGGGCTATCCTGGGCCGACCCACCAACGACAGTGTCCTGTAGGGGGGCGGTATAACCCGGCTGTATCCAAATGCCCGTGTCCCTGGGCGGACGGGACATACGGAGTACGCGGTGGGATGCGATTGGTCGGTATCTCACCGGTCAGCTCGGTGACCCCGGCGTTGGCGATATCGCCCGTCGCCAGGGTGATCATCTCCTCCGGGCCCACGGTCACGATGTTGACCTCGTCTTCATCCACCACCTCGTCGTCCTCGCCGTCGTCGTCCTCCTGGTCCACCATCTTCATGCCGGCCTTCCCCTTGTGGACGGTCTTCACGTGGGAACGCAGGTTGTCCACGCGGTTGAAGCCGCGGCCGCACTTGTCGCAGAGATACGGTTT